TTATTATTATTATTATTATTATTATTATTATTATTATTATTATTATTTGATCTGTCAGCAACTGTAATCAGTTTACAAATTATTAAAAATATTTTAAAACAAGACAAAATATAAGAAGCACAAAACAAAACAATACAAAATAAAACAAAGATGGCAGAAAGAATAAATCCCAATCGAAATAGGAACAAAAGAAGAAAATGGGCCTCACCAACAGCCTGGGTATAGAACCACATCTTCAGGGACCTTCAAAATATCCATAGGATGGGATCATTTGAATTTGGGGGAGCCTCATTTTAGAAGGCATGTGCTACTTCAGAAGAGGCACACTTTTTGAACCTCGAACATTGTTTAATCTATAAAGCCCAGAACACATCAGCCCTGTCAGCTCAAACCACTAAACCAGGAAAAGAGGCAGCCCCTCAAACTATCCTCCATCTCCTGTCAGACTTTATAGATAATGAGAAACACCTTGAATCACACCCAGAAACAAACAGGCAATCGGCGCAGCTCACAAAGCTGTTACATGGGCAAATGAGGCATGCCAGTTACTGAGAGAGTGGTTAGTGGCGCAATGGTTAGAATGCTGTATTGTGGGCTAATTCTGCCAACTGCCAGGAGTTCGATCCTCACCAGCTCATGGTTGACTCAACCTTCCAGCCTTCTGAGGTTGGTAAAATGAGGACTGGGCCCAAATTGTTGAGGGCTATAAAGCACCGTAAAGCAGTAGATAAGTGTTGTTGTTATCACTATAGTTACTGCCCATGCCACTGCATTCTGAAGCTTCCAGGTGGTCTTCCACGTGCAGAACAGTCAGCTACTATTAGCATATTAAGACAAATAATTATTTAGCAATAGCACTCCATAGTGCTTTATGACACTCTCTGGGCAGTTTACAATGTCAGCATCTTGGGCCCAACAATCTGGGTCCTAATTTTACTGGCAGGAAAATGTAAAACAATATTTTATAGTTTATCTAGGGTTATAAAAGTTCTAGTCAGACATATTTCATTTCTTGTAGAGGAGCACCATTGATAAAATAAACATCCAGATTAGAAAATTAGCTCTAGCTATGGTCTCTATATTTAGTCAGTAAGAATTGATACCAATTTGATGGCACATAAGAAGATTTACAAGGGAAAAATGCTGAGTATGTTCTCTTATTGCTTGCTGACCTTTGAGGGTTGCCCCAGTTGTATTCTTTAGTGTGTGTATTTCACTTATGTTCTAGTGTTATATTAAATATTCATAACTTTATATGGAAGGATAAGTTCTCACGGAGTGTCAGGATTGCTGCAGTAATTTGTTACGCACCGAATTCCTCACTTTTGCAAATTAATCATACACATGCAGATAGTCAAAGAACCAAGATTTGTAAACATGTTAACTGCAAATTATTATTAGATGTGAGCTATCAACAGTATGAAAAGAATTTGTATTACACACATAACAATGTACCTCTTACCATTCTTTAATGTATACAATGTCAAGAAAGCAAATTCAAGGGTCTTTCTTAAGATTGTCATGCAGATTTGTGTAAACAGGCCTATGTTAGTTCTATGAAATGCCAAGCAGTTTACAGGATACAAAAATATCTGGGAGGAATAGTTAATTTAAAAATGTTTTTCTGCATCCTATCAGAATTTCTCTGTTGCATGGCTGGTGGCCCAGAGTTGTGGCATGCTGTACAGATGAGCGGTTATTTCAGAGGGGCGATGTACAGAAAGGGAAATACTTGCCTCAGGGGTGGGATTCAACCGGTGTTACTACTGGTTTAGTGACTACGTTTTGCACTGCGCATGCATGTAAAAAACCTTAAGCTGTGTGTTCAGCTGTGTGGACAGCTGAAAAGCGCTGCGCGCGGGTGCACAGCATTTGTAAAGCCTCTTTTTTCCTGCTTTTTCAACCTCAGCTGTGCCGTGCAAAGCAGCTGAGGTTGAAAAAGCAGGAAATAAAGGACAGGTAAGAGCCCAGGCGGGCAGGTGGGCCAAACAGCAGCAAACACAGAACCGGTTCAGTATCTGCTGCTCTTCAGAGCTGCTGGTTCTATAGAGCTGGGCAGAATCGGTAGCATCCGACCCCTGACTTGCCTAAATAAAACATTTTGTGGAAGTTACCATACTGTGTCATAGGCATAGGATGTGAATGTATCACAATGATCTAATATTGGTGCTCACCATAATTGGTAGTATATTGTAGACATAATAAAAATATTCCATTTATCTAAATGTACTTATCTAAAATGATTAGCGATGGACAGGTTTTAGATCTTTTTTTTTATTGTGTTGGTCTACTGTCTCTATTCAATAATAAATTCTAAGAAAGGGCATTTCTTTGGAGATGTCAAAATAGACCTTTTGTTCTGTCAGTTTCTATAAACACTCAATCTCTTCAAACCTTTCCCCCTTCTTCTCTTTTTCTTTCTTTCTTTCCTTCTCTTTCTTTCTTCCCAGGACGGGACACTAATGTATTAGTCTACATTAAAAGGAGGCTGGCAATGTGTGCAAGAAAACTGGGGAAAACCAGGGAAGCTGTGAAAATGATGAGAGATGTGAGTTTGGATTTGTGTTAATATTTGTCTTTTACGTAACAAGTCACAATCACAGAGAGGAATTTCCCTTGGCTATAGAAGCAACCTATCTACGTAAAACACTACTGATATCTAGAGTGCCTAACCTGCTTTCTTTTTTCCTGGAACTTTTCCTATCATCCTCATATTTCTATACAGGGTGAGAGGCTGAAAACATTCTTTCGTCTTTATTGCTCCTGTCTAGTTACTTTTGGAACTGCATGGAACTTCATATTAAAATCTGTTTTTTCTTTTGAATTCAAGATCTCTATGAGGAAAACCTACAGATTTTCCTATTGTTATATATTATGAAGAGTATGAGGAAGGACACTATTAAGCAAAGGATCACCCCTGATTTTACCATAAATGTAGACCAGTAATATGCAGAAAAAGGATTAGTTGCAAGATTTTAGAAAATTTGATTAAAAGATATAAAGGTGTCATACTCCAATTGGTAACTACAGGGAAAAAAATTGTTTAATAACAAAAGATAACATGAAATTGAAACAGGACAGACAAAAGTATAAATATAATGATTTGAATTGAGATGAGATAATTAAAATAAAGTTGAGAAAATTAAAAGAGGGGAAAAACTATGTAGAAAATATAAAACGGTAATAAGATATGGAATATGAGCATGAAATTGAGTTTTGTGTCTGTATGAAGAAGGGATGACCTGGGACCATGCTATTTTCAAAAAAAGATGTTTTATTTGTATTTTGTTTTTGTGAAAACCCAAATAAAAAATTCAAAAAAAAAAAAAAGAAATAAAATTTGGTATGTGGTACTGATGTACTATATGTGACCAACAGATGTATTTCAACTCACAGCCCCTGAAGCATATGTTGTTAGTTATGGGACAGTTCTGAGGGTGATTTTAAGGAATCTTGCAGGGGCATAAAGTACCCAATCCTGTGCCTCTCTTTTTCTTGATTTTGCCAAAATCAAAAACAAGAAAATGCACTCTTGAAAATCAGTGATTTTATTGCCCACTCAGGTAGCTTCAGGCAGGCCATAAATTGCTCTTTAATGAATGAAAAAAACACCCATTTCTTAGAATGAAAGAAATGTGAAAAATGTAAACTAATGAAATTAATTTACAATTTCAAAAGGGCTAAAAAGAGATGCAAAATGTCACAAATGGTTCTGCCACCAGCTGCACAGTTTTTGAGTTTTCAGGATGAGAGACAGCATACCTGAGTGATCAAACGTTAGCGACAAAACTTCCTGGATTACTTATTGCAAATTACTCTTTCTCAACCCAAGCTTTCTCACAGGGCCTCCAAATTGGATGGAGGAAGTGCAACAATGTTATTGTGAGCTCCTAAATGAAAAGAAGGTTAAAAAAAAATACAAAAAATATAAATTACAACCATTGTAACTGTTTTAAATGGAATGGAGCAGCATAATAAATCTGAATAATAACATTAAAAGTATAACATTGAATATATCTATAATTAAAGATAAATTTTAACATGATAATTTTTTCGACTTTGGGAGAGGAGCATACATTATTTAACTTTCATGGCCATTATGCTATGGCCTTTGTTGCTTCCCTAGGTTATGCAGGTGGTGAATTCTTATTTGTACTTTGCATTTAATATTGTATGACAAAAGGCATAGAATTCAGGGACATTCTATTCATTGTGTAGCTGGAATCTTATTTTTAAAAGGAATCCAATTTGATTATTCCTCAATCTTCTTATTCCTCAATCTGAAGAAACTAAGGTCCTCTCTTTCACTATCTAGCATGGGAAAAACATTTTGGTATCTTGGTTTTTTAGTATAGGTAGTCTTTGCTTAAGAAATTGGAATTTCATTTTCCTTCAAAATGAGAATAATAATTTGTTTGAGTGGAGAATATAATGAAATTTGCTACAAAAATATGCCTTGGAGTGATAATATATATATTTACATTTACTCAAATTTAATCCAGAGGGATGGGGGTCAGGTTTTGTGCAAAAGATAGATTGGAAAGAGGCAATAATCCTTTTTGTGAATTTATTACAGTCAACAGTTATGGAGGTTTCAGAGAAATACAAAAAATTAATATATTTGTGTTTTGTTTAAAAGAGAGGTATTCCTTAAACCAGGGGTTCCCAAGCTGTGGGCTACGGCCCAACCACAACGCCACGGTCTAATTGCCACTAGGCTGTGTGAGTGGCTGGCCGGTGGGCGTGCCTCTGCGTGCATGCACAGCCCACTCGTGCAAGTGTCATCCCAGGTGTTTGCCATCCCACTCGTGTGAGCGTTGCCGCAGGTGCTCGCGCCCCGCTTGTACACATAGGCCCTTGTCCCTCCCACAAAATCATCCCCTCATTCCTCCTCCCTTGTCTCCAGGCCACCAACCCAGAAAGGTTGGGTAACTCTGCCTTAAACCATTTGAGTAGTAGATAAGACAGCCATAGAATTGTTTCTTCATAGAAGAAAGTGATTGAAGGAAACTGAATGATCAAATAGCATTTCTCCGTCCAAGTCTTCCCATCCTTGAAACATTCTAAGATTGAGATAAGTTACATAATTTGATCACAAGGATCCTTTTTTTAAAAAAAAAATCCATAAATATTTAGGTCAGATTCTCTGATACTGTTCACCTGGTCAAAGTTGTGTTTCCTCACTGAAATTTTAACATGTCGGAATGTTGTTATTCCCTAAAAAGTATATTGGATGAGCTGTTTATATAACGAGTTTGCATAACTGTGGAACACTACAGTCTTTTTCATCAATAGAAAAATGAAATGGAACCTGAGGTTTATTCCAGTCTTGCTTGCTGGTATTAGGAATCTAACTATGAAGGTTTAATTAAAGGTTTCAGTCTATCTCTTTATGCAATTTCATTGTCTCTATACCAATAATGTGTAGACAGATGTGCAAACCAGGTAAGACTTCCTAGAATTATTGACAATTCTAGTTCACATGTAGAGATACCATTCCTCTCCTTTAAAAAAACAACAACTGGACAGTGTAAGGATCATATATGGGCCCATTAAGATCAAATTGTATGACAGGCTTTTAGAATATACTTTATACTTCATTGTCATTGTACATATATAAACAGTATTTTAATGTCTTTGTTATTGGTACTCCTTAATTTACTCATATTTTCCCCAAAGAAATTTTTATATCAGTTTATGCATTCTTAACTCTGATTGTGTTTCTATAAGTAGTCTTTTTCTATAATATACCAAAACACTAGGTTGTTATGGGCTGGTCTAGAGTGTTTTGTAAAAGAAAATGCTAATTTCACAAAACTTGCTTTCAGATTTACATTCCAAGCAATGATATAGGTTGGGATGTCAAACTTGATTTCATTGAGGACCATATCAGGGTTGTGTTTGATCTCGGGGGCTAAGGTCGGCATGGCCAGTGTGAGAGTGGCCCGCTCGACGTCACTCATGTCAGGGGCACCTGTGGTGGTCCAAGCATGGCTGGGGCGATCCTTCCTTCCTTCCTTCCTTCCTTCCTTCCTTCCTTCCTTCCTTCC